GGGGCTGTGGGAGCGGGGGGCACACACAGCCCCCACCCCTCGGGCTGCAGCTTCAGCCCCTCTGGTCAGTGGGAGCAGTGCCCAGGAGCCACGGGACACATGGCTGGGCACACCGGTCCCCTCTGCCACGCCGGGTGCCCTCAGGGTACCCCACACCCGCCTCCCCAGGGTCTGACACCAGCCGGGGGCTTTTGGGGGGGTCTGCCCGGCCCCAGTGCTGCCCGTCCTGGTGGGCTGGTGCCCGTAGGGGGGCCAGAGTGTGCCGGTGGCTGGTGGCCGCTGACAGCCACGTCGCTCAGGGCCTCGTTATCGAAGGTTAATTGGATTCTGCAGATGTACTCGGTGCATTAGGCAGGAGCTCAGTCCATGAGCACCCAGCCCCCGCTGCCCTGTAGGGACCCCTACCCACCTCAGAGGGATTAATGGGGGACCCCTATCCACCCTGGGAGACCCTGCCCCATTTAACAGGGACCCCTGTGTGCCCTGGGGGTCCCCTGCCTTCCTTGGGGGGGGGTCCCTATTCACCCGAATAGAGGGGAGCTAACGCTGCTGCCGGCACCACTGCGGCCATGAGCGTGTCCAGCCCCAGCCCAGCCCCGCTCAGCCCCAGCGAGGGGTCCGGCCGGGAAAGCGCCCGGCAGCGCTTCCCAGAAGGAGCCGCCCCGGCCGTGCCGCGGAAATGGAGCTGAATATCTGAGCAGGGCTGAGCTAAAAGCCTCGGCCCCGCAGCCCCGCGCAGCCCCGGCGGCTCCCGCCATCAATTATTAACGGCGAGATGGATCCGCGGCCTCGCGCGTGCCCGCCCGGCGGGGGCGGCTCCGGGAGTACCGGCTGCCCGGTACCAGCCCCGGGACGGGCTCTCCGCCCTCGGTCCCGCGGGGCCCACGCCAGAGCTACCCATGGAGCCCGCTCCTCGCCCGGCCGGGACTCGCGGTGCCGGTGCCGTTGTCGGGTGCGGTACCGGTGCCGGTTCTCCTCACGGCGGCGGCAGAAAGCGATGCTGCCCCGCCGTGGGGCCGCACTGGCCCCGCTGTGACCCCCGCCCCTCCCCGGATGGCTCCTGGCAGGTACAGATGGGACCGGACCCTCCCCAGCCGGGGGTCACCGGCCCCGCCGCGCTCTCGCCTCCCCGGAGGCGCGGGCAGGGGGTGGGCGGGCGGCGGGGCGGGGGCTGGTCCGGAGCCTCTGCCCGCCGGCGCCCCGGCACCGGGAGGGGCTCGTGTTGCTCCCGGTGGAGTCCCGGGGTTCGGCCACACACCGTGCGCCACACCGGACGAGGAGCTGGCATCGGGGTCACCGGGGCTCGGCCGGTGCCAGGCTTAGACACTCCGGTGGGGCAGCACGGACAGCTCGACTGGACTGGGCACACTGAGGGGTGGAGTAAGTGCTGTGACCCGTATCCGGGACCGGGACCAGGACCTGGACCGGGGCCAGCATCAAGACCAGGACCAGGACCATGACGATGACGCATCCAGGAGCCCCAAACCCGCACCGTCAGTCCCTGGCCGAGGCAGCCCGAGCGGAGCCGGTGCCGGAGCAGGGCTGGCAGCGCGGCTGTGTGCCAGGAGCTCCATGCTGGGGTGGGGGTGCCAGCCCCTGCTCGGGGGTCCCGCCGTGTTCCCCGCCCGCTCCCACTCCCTGGCACGGACCAGCCTTCCCCGCCGTCCGCTCTGGGGTCCGGGGGGGTGGCACAGTCCGTGAGGAGCCGTGGGGGGCTCTGAGGGGCCGTGGGGAACTCGGCTCGGCTCCGCATTAGCGCGGCCGCTGCTTCCCCTGAGCCAAACCTTCATTAGCGTGGCTCCGGCTGCGCCGGGTGGGGCCGCGGGCTGCTCCGCTGGCACCCCGAGCTGCAGCACCCAGCACCCCAAAGTGCAGCAACCCGACACCCCAAACTGCAGCACCCAGCACCCCGAACTGCAGCACCCAGCACCCCAAACTGCAGCACCCCGGCACCCGACACCCCGAACTGCCAGCACTTCAACCCTGCTACCACCCCAACGCCGGCCGCCCCAAACATCAGCACCAACAGCAGCGCGACACCCCAAACTGTACCACGCTGGTACCCCAGCGACACCCCAGCACCCCAACCCTGCCTGAACCCCGGCACCTCGAAGTGCCCCGTACCCCCAACTGCCAGGGCAAACACCCCGACCCTGCCGGTGCCTCTGCATCCCTGAGCCCAGCCCTGCCCTCGCTGCCGCCTTTCACCCTGTGCCCACGTCGGGACACCGCGATGTCCCCTCCCGAATCCCCCCAGACCGCCTGAGCCCCCCCAGATCTCCCGCACCTCACGTCCCCCCCTAACCCCCCTCAGACCCCCTCAGATCCTCTCAGACCCCTGAGTCCCCCTCAGGCCCCCGGTTCCCTCCCGTGCCCCCCCTCGCCCTTCCCGTTCCCCCGCGTTGCTCTGCTGCCCTCAGGCGGCGCTCCGCAGCACCACGCGCGCGCAGAGCCCTCTCTGATTGGCGGCCGCTGCTGTCCGTCAAGAGAGCGCCCTCCCGCTATTGGCCAGTGGCGGGAACGCCCTGCCTTAAACACGGCGGGTCCGGTGGCGGCGGCTCCCGGCGGGTCCCTCTCACGGACGAGGTCGGGAGGTCTCGGGATCCCGGGCCTCTCCCCGTGGGTCGTGGGGAAGGATCACCACAGGGCCGAGCTTGCGCTGGCCGCCGCGACTCAAGACGCGCGAGGCACGCTAGGAGTTGTAGTCCCGCCGCTCGCCGCGGCCCCGCCCCGAACACGGAAGTGCGCGAGGCCACAGGCGGAGGCGGCTCTAAGATGGCGTCGCCTCCTCAGGGGGGCCCGATGGCCATCGCCATGCGGCTGCGGAACCAGCTCCAGGCCGTTTACAAGATGGACCCGCTGCGGAACGAGGCGAGCGGCCGTACCGGGAGGGCGGGAGGCACCGGGAGGAGGCGGTGGCGGCGGCACCGGGGGCCAGCTCGGGAGGGGACGGGAGGTGCCGCGGCGGCGCCGCTGGGGGGCGCTGTGAGACCGAGGGGCGGTGCGGGAAGGCGGGGCTAAGGGAAGGGGGCGTGGCCAAGGGCCGGGGCTGGCACGGGGCTGGGGGTGTCCCCGGACCCCCAAAATCCCATTTTCTGACATAATAAGGCAAAGCAGGGCATCCCGCCCCCTTAAAATCTCATTTTCTAGTGTAGTAATGGGATGTTTGGCCAGCCTCTTTGGGGACCCCCCCCCATTGCGTGTGGTCAGTCCTGTTTTCTGGCATGTTAAGGCGATACAGGGGGTGCAGCACCCCAAAATCCTGTGTTCTGCCATAATACTGGAAGACAGAAGGCACAGCCTCCCCACATCCTGTTTTCTGACTTAATAAGAGAAAACAAGAAGAGTGCCCCCCCAGAGTCCCATTTTCTGGCATGTTAAAGTAAGACAGTGAGGCCAAGCTCTCAAAATCCCATTTTCTGATGTAATAATGGAAGACGGGGGACAATCCCTACAAAATCCCGTTTTCTGACACATTTTAGCAAGACGAGGGTGTCCAGCCCCTCAGAATCTGTTTTCCAGCATATTAAAGCAAAACAAGAGGTACAACTCCCCAAAAACCCCTTTTTTTACTATGTTAAAGGAATGGCAGGAGAAGCTCCTTGGGCTAAGGGGTTCCAGGTGAAGGATGAGAGGGGTCTCGGGGGTCTCCAGGTGACAGGTGGGGGTGGTCTTGGCATGCTGCAGTGAGGTGACAGTGAGGTGTCCCCGCAGGAGGAGGTGAAGGTGAAGATGAAGGAGCTCAACGAGCACATCGTGTGTTTCCTGTGCGCCGGGTACTTCATCGACGCCACCACCATCACCGAGTGCCTGCACACCTGTGAGTGTCCCCACCTGGCTGGGGGGCTTGGGGGGGCTGTGGGGGCGCAGTCCCACCCCTCCCACACCTGTCCTTGTCCCCAGTCTGCAAGAGCTGCATCGTGAAGTACCTGCAGACCAGCAAGTACTGCCCCATGTGCAACACCAAGATCCACGAGACGCAGCCGCTGCTCAACCTCAAACTGGACAGGGTCATGCAGGACATCGTCTACAAGCTGGTGCCTGGCCTGCAGCACAGTAAGGGGACATGGGGGAGCTCAGGGGACATGCATGGTTTTGTTGGAGGGTCCCAGGACAAGGGAAGAGACAAGAATTTTGACTCCGTGTTTCAGAAGGCTGATTTATTATATTAGGATATATATTAAAAATGCTATACTAAAAACTATACTAAGAAGAATAGAGAGAAAAGGCCTGTCAGAAGGCTGGAAAGGACAGGAGAGGAATGATAACAAAAGCTCCTGACTCTCAGTCTGAGCCAGCTCACTGTGATTGGCCATTAATTAGAAACAACCAACATGCACCAATCACAGATGCACCTATGCATGGTTTTGTTGGAGGGTCCCAGGACAAGGGAAGAGACAAGAATTTTGACTCCGTGTTTCAGAAGGCTGATTTATTATATTAGGATATATATTAAAAATGCTATACTAAAAACTATACTAAGAAGAATAGAGAGAAAAGGCCTGTCAGAAGGCTGGAAAGGACAGGAGAGGAATGATAACAAAAGCTCCTGACTCTCAGTCTGAGCCAGCTCACTGTGATTGGCCATTAATTAGAAACAACCAACATGCACCAATCACAGATGCACCTGTTGCATTCTACAGCAGCAGACAATTATTGTTTACATTTCCTTCACGAGGTTCCTCAGCTTCTCAGGAGAAAAATCCTGGCAGAAGGATTTTTCAGAAAATATCGTGGCTACAGCCATGGCCTGCAGCACAGTGTGGGGGACATGGGGACAGGAATGGGGATATGGACAGGGAGGGAAAGAGGCATGGGGACAGGGTGTGTGGCAAGGGCTTGGTGCAGTGGAGGGAGGGAGGACAGCACCCTCAGGGGCAGCTGGGCCCAGGTGTGACCCTGAGCCACTTGTCCCCTGCAGGTGAGGAGAAGCGGATCCGGGAGTTCTACCAGTCCCGAGGCCTGGACCGTGTGACACAGCCCAGCGGTGACGGTGGGACAGGGGGGCACGGGGGGCAGCCAGCTGCGTGCTGGGGGGTGTCGGGGGCACAGGGGGCTGACGGTGCCACCTGTGTCCCCAGACACGGTGGGGGGTGACCCCATGGGGCTCCCCTACAGCACCTTTGACCACTCGCGCGCCCACTATTTCCGCTACGACGAGCACGTCTCGCTCTGCCTGGAGAAACTGAGGTGAGTCCCCGCTCAGTGGGGTGGGGAGGGGACACAGGGGACACTGGGCATGACCCCCAACCCGTGAGATCCTGGACACATGTCCCTTTCTCTTCCTGCCACAGCTCGAGCAAGGACAAGAGTAAGGCCATGCTGCAGGTGAGTGGGGATCCCTGCAGACCTCAGCCTGACCCCCAGCTGTCACCCTGGCCCTGGCAGGGGTGTGTGGGGTCCCTGGAGACCCCCACAGCCCCCCAACCCTCTCTGTCCCTCACAGCAGAAATACGTGAGGTGCTCGGTGCGGGCACAGATCCGACACCTGCGGAGGGTCCTGTGCCACCGGCTGGGGCTGTCCCTGCAGCACGTGAGTGGGGGTCCGGGGGGGTCCCAGCCCCCAGGGGTGTCCTGGCCCCACTGATGCAGCCCCCCTGTGCAGGTGCAGATCCTGTTTGACAACGAGCCCCTCCCCGACCACATGACGATGAAGCAGCTCTGGCTCTCACGCTGGTTTGGCAAGGTGTGCATCCATCATGGGGGGTGGCAGCCTCTGATTTTGGGGTTCACCCCACGGGGGGGGTGGTGGGGTGACCCTCTGGGTGTGGTTCAGGGCAGTGTGGAGTTGGGGGATTGAGGATCTTTAATGTCAGTGGCTGCAGTGGTGATCTGGGGGGTCCCTGGCCCTTGCATGGGTCAGGCAATGGGGGGGTCCCCAAAGAGGTTGGCCAAATTTGGGGTGCAGCCCCAGGGGGGAGTCCCTGGGCTGGGATTGGGGTCCCTGTACCAGGGGATTTCCGGGCTGGGGTTTGAGGTCTCTGCCCCAAGGGGATCTTGGGCTGGGGTTTGGGGGCGTTGAGGTTTGGGATCCCTGCCCTAGGAGGGAGTTCTGGGCTGGGGTTTGGGGTCATGGGCTGGGATGGGGGGTCCCTGTCTGTGGGGGGTTCCCTGGGCTGGGATTTGGAGTCCCTGCCCTGGGGGCAGTCCCTGGGCTGGGATCTGGGGTCTCTGCCCCAAGGGGGGGGTCCTTGGCTGGAATCCCCCAGCCCTGACCCCCCCCTTGCCCCACAGCCTGCGCCCCTCCTGCTGCACTACAGCATCAAGGACAAGAGGAGGTAGGGGTGGGGGGTGGGCACTGCCCCCCAGTGCAGCCCTGCTCCCGCCCCCCACCCCCATAACTTATACCCCTCTTTGAATTTATTTTTGGAATAAAATTGTGGAAAAGCCTCCTTGAGTCCCTGCTTTGTCGGGGGGGTTGGGGGCTGCTGTGGGGGTCTCAGGAGGATCCCCTCTGCTCCAGCAGCTCCAGGAGCTGGGGGGCTGCATGTGGGGACTCAGTGACCCCCGGATGGGCTGCACCCATGGGGGGCTGAGTCATGGGGGGCTGGGGGTGCACTGCGGGCAGTGGGGCTGTGCAGCCCCCCCAGTCCCCGTTCCCCCGCAGCACCGGGGGTCTCGCAGCCCCTCAGCTCCGCGCAGCCGTGCGGGCACTCCCCACATCGATCCCGTCTCGGTCCCGTCACGGCTGCCTGGCGCGTGTCCGGCCCCCCCGCCCCCCATAATGAGCCTTAATAAAGTCATCGGCCCTTTGATTGCCGCGGGAACCCCGCAGCCCCCCCGCCCCGCGCGGCCCTAATTAGCCCGGGACAATATTCCGCCATCTGGAGCCTCCCGCGGCAGCCACCGGCACAGCTGCGGGCGGGGGGTCCCGGCGGCGGGGGTGTCCCTGGGGTGGGGCCGGGACCCACGGCCGCGGGCAGAACAGGTGCCGGATCCCGGGGAACGCGGCTCCGGAGGGCTCAAAGCCCCCCGGTGCTGACCCCGCTCCGTTCCCCCGGCGCGGTGCTGCCGGTACCGGGCTGTACCGGGCGGCTGTCGGGGGTCTCCCCTCCACGCTCGCTCCCCGACCCGCGTGTCCCATCCTGTGGTGGGCACGGTCCAGGACCCCCGGGGATGGATGTGGCACCGGGTGTGCCTTGGCCCATCCTTCATGCCCGGCCCCGCACTGAGCTCGGCGCTCGGTCCCCGCGCCGGAACCCCCGCGCCGCCGCCGGGGGATCCGGTTACGGCCCGGCCCGGCCCAGCTGTCGGCCATCGCTCACCGGGCGGGGGGCGGCGGGGCTCGCCTGCCCAAAGCCCCCGCAAGGACGAAGGGAAACGCGGGGGCTGCGAGGCCATCCGGGCATGGGGATCCCAGCGGGGCTGGGTGGGCGGAATGGGGGCTCCAAATGAGGCTGGAGCGGTGGGGTGCAGGATTAGGGTCCCAGCCGGAGAGGGAGGGGCGGGGTTGTGGAGTGGGGGTCCCAAACAGGACTGGAGGAGCAGGATGGGGGGCTCAGTAGGGCTGGAGCGCTTGGGGTGCAAGGTGGGAGTCCCGAGCACAGACAGAGGGTTTGGGGTACGGGTTGGGTGTCCCAGACAGGGCTGGAGGTGTGGGGGAGCAGGATGGGTGCTCTAAACGGGGCCGCAGGGATTGGGGTGCAAGTCCGGGGTCCCAGCCGAGGCTGGAAGGGTGGGGGTGCAGGATGGGGGTCCCAAATGGGATCAGAAGGATGGGTGGGGGATCTTAAGTCAGGATGCAGGGCTGGAGGTGAGGGACAGAGATCCCAGCTGGCACCGGAGGGCTGTGGGTGCAGTGTGGGAGTGCCAACCAGGCTGGAGGAGTGGAGGAGCAGGATGGGGATCCCAAACAGGGCTGGGGATCCCAAACGGGGGCTGCCTGTGGGGGAGTGGGCGTGTAGGTGGATGGACGGACAGAGGGACAGACGGATGGATGGATGGATGGATGGATGCTGGGGGTAGCGAGGCGGGGGGTGTCCCTGTGTCTGTCAATCAGCGCTGGCCCCGGAGGAGCCTAATTCAAACCAACTGCGGGGCTGACGTTGGTAAATGAGCCCCCCGCCCACGGCCTGGCCCCAGCGCCCACGGGGAGGGGGGAGATGAGGGCCGGGGGATGCAGCGGGGCAGGGGCAGGTACGGGGGGATGTTCCCGTACCCCCCAGGCGCGGTCAAGCTGAAGACACTTTGATGTCCCCCCGGCCCGTCATGCTCCGAGGGGGCTAATGGCCCCCGGCCTGGGGGTAGCGAGGCGGGGGCTGTCCCTGTGTCTGTCAGCAGCGGCTCTGGCAGCCAGTTACAGACGGCAGAGCAGGAAGCCCCCCACGCCCCCCCGCTAATGGCCCCCGGCTCCAGCCCGGCAGAGAGGGAAACCTGAGCCCCCATCCCCCTGTCCTTAACCTGGGGGGCTCTCGGGCGTCCCCAGCTCTGCCCGAGAGGATCTGGGCGCGGCACGGACCCACGTGAGCAGGGGGACGGGACCCTTAAGGGCGCTTTGGCTCTGTGGGACCCCCAGGAGTCCCACTGGGGATGGTGGCACCCCCAGCCTGGAGGGTCCCAGGGCTCGGATGCGGGGTGAGAGGTGAAGGGACCCACCCGTGGTGTCGCAGGGATGTGCCAGGGGGCTACAGGAACAGTACTGCGGGGGGGGGAGGGGGTCTTTGAGAGGGACCCCTAAAAGAGACTGCTCAAGCCCTGCAGCTCCTGTGCCTTTGGGGGGCACTGGGGGCACAGCACAGCCCGGGCAGGGGGGCACAGCCTCACCCCTCCCTCCTATGCCAGTGTTCCCAAGCGCTGCCCCCTCCAAATCCCCCCCCCCCCCCACCCCTGCCCCTCACTGCGGCTCATCTCCAGCCCCCTCCAAAGACCCCCAAAACTCACCAGCCCCATGGACTCTCACTCTGGGGGTCCCGCTCACCCCCAGCCGCTGCTCTGCCCGGGGGATGGGCACAGGCGGGGGACCCCGGGCTGCTGAGCCCCCCGGCTGTGCGGGACCCCCCGGCTGCACCGTCCCCACCATGTTCCGGCAGCAGCGGCCCCGCGCAGCCGTGACAGAGACAGATGAGCCCCGGCACCCCCGCACCCCACTGCCGGCTGAGGGGCCATGCCCGGCGTCCTGGAACGTGGTGGGCACTGGCATGGGCACCGTGGGGACACGTGTGGCACGGTATTGCCCCGCATCCTGACCTGCCACCCCAGGGCACCCATGGCAACACACAGCCATCCCCCCCTGCGGTGCCCATGCCATGCCATGCCATGCCATGCCATGCTATCCCCTCCATGCCCAGCGGCAGGCGGCTGTCACGACGGGAATGAGCTGTCACGATAGGAATGAGCTGTCACGATAGGAATGAGCTGTCACGACGGGAATGAGCCGCCGCCCCAGCGCGGGGACATTCCCTGTAACGAAGCGCCGGGATGAGGCTGATGAGAAAATCCAAACGCAATTTAATTCCTGTCACCGCCTGAGCGGCTCTAAATGACGCCAGGGCGTTCTGACGGGCCCACGCTGAGCCCCCCGCCCCAGCCCACCCCACATCATCCCCTCCTCACCCCCGCTGCCCTCCCCCTCCGGGCCCGTGCTTCCTGCCCGCTTCCTGAGGATGTGGGCACCGGCACTGGCACCGGGATGCCCGCCGGCGTGGGAAGGGGGGCACCTTCCTGCGGACAGAGGGGTCATGGCAGGGCCTGGGAAAGTGCCGCCCCCGGGACCCCCCACCCCCCGCAGCCACCTGGAGGAGCCCCGGGATGCTCGGAGCAGCCGCGCGGGTGATGGCAGCACTTGTGGCACCGTGGTGCCACCGGCATCCCCGCACTGCCCGCGACCCTGCAGGGGCAGCCCCAGCTGCTGGGGGCTGACAGGGCCAATGTCACCAGCGAAAAGGCCACCGAGCACGGGCAGCCCCCGCTGGCACGGGTGCCGGGGCGGTGGGGCCGTGGGAGCGGGCTCAGGGCACCTCTTCACGTCTCCCGGTTTGTTTTGGCCGCCGGAGTTTCCTCCAAGCCTTTGTCTGGAGGCTGCAGCCCCCCCGCGCCCCCTGCACGGGCGGGGGGATGCGCCGTGGGCCCGCCGGCCCGACACGGCCACACCGGGACCGGCGGCGGGGGAGGGCCGGGAGGAGGCGCCGGTGGCTGCGGGTCTGCCACGGGCTGGGGTGGGACGTGGGATGTGGGATGTGGGATATGGGATGGGGGATATGGGATATGGAATGGGGGATATGGGATATGGGATTTGGGATATGGGATATGGGATATGGGAGAGGGGATATGGGATGTGGGATATGGGATATGGGATGGGATGTGGGATATGGGATATGGGAGAGGGGATAAGGGATATGGGGTATGGGATATGGGATATGGGATGTGGGACATGGGATATGGGACATGGGATGGGATATGGGATGTGGGATATGGGATAGGGGATGTGGGATATGGGATATGGGATTTGGGATACAGGATATGGGAAATGGGATGTGGGATATGGGATTTGGGATATGGAATATGGGATGAGACACGGGATGGGATATGTGACAAGGGATGGGATATGGGATGGGATATGGGACATGGGATATAACATAGGATGGGACATGGAATGGGACATGGGATGTGGCATGGAGTGCACAGGGGACACACACATGGGGTACCAATGGGCATAGAGGGCAGGTGTGGGTGCCCTCGGGGGGTGCCAGCCTGCTCCCAAGGGCCTGTGGTTTGGGTGCTGCTGCCCCAACTGGAGGGATGCTGATGCCGTGTGTGTCACAGCAAGGGTGCCACAGTGCCAGTGCCAGTGCCACCCCCTGGTGTGGGTCCTGGTGCTGTGGCATGGCTCCCAGGGCTGTAGCGTGGATGCCATGATGTGTGTCCCAATGCCATGTGGGTCTCAGTGCCATGACGTGGATGCCAGTGCCACAATGTGGGACCTGGTGCCACAAAGTGGATATCAGTGCCATAGTGTGGGTGTCAGTGCCACGGTGTGGGTTCCAGTGCCACAGTGTGGGTGTCAGAGTCACAGTGTGGGTGTCAGTACCATGGTGTGGATGCCAGTGCCACCTCCCCAGTGCCCCGTGTGTCCCAGTGTGGGTTCCAGTGCCACCTCCCCAGTGCCCCGTGTGTCCCGGTGTGGTGGCACTCGCCATCCCGCCATTGTTCCACCCTTTGAAGTCGCTGTTTCCTGGCGGGTTTGTCCCGGCCCGCCTGTGCCGGTGCTTCCCAGCCATAAATCACCCAGCACAGGGGCTCAACACCCGCGTGCCCACGGCCACAGCCTGGCAAGGGGTGCCCACCGAGCCCACCTTCACCTGGGACCTGCCAGGGCAGGGCAAGGACTCCCTGGAGCCCCGTGGTACCGTCAGCATGGACATCACAGTGGTCCCTTCCTCGTGGACCTCCCATCCCCCCTGACTCCCCATGGTATAACGGGGTGTGGATAACGCCGGGATGAGGATTTGGGGCCAATCACAGCAAGACTGGAAGTGCCCACGACAGCCCAGCCCATGTGCCAGGGCTCAGGACGGTCCCTGCGCTCCTGTCTGGCTGCCCCCAGCGCCCCGAGGCTTCCGTCCGGGCCCAGCGCTGACGGCACGGCCGTTCCCTCCGCTATTCCCAGCATTTCCTGGGGTTTATTGTCTTTCCCTCGCTGTCCCACCTTCCTCGCAGGAAACCCTTCGTCCCACGGGGCTGGCGGCTCCGTTACCAGCAGGACGGCACTCCCGGCCCCCTCCCCATGGGCAGGGATACAGCCGGTGTCCCGGGAGCTGCTCAAACCCCAAACCCTGCTCAGAGCCCGGTACCGGGGGGTACCACGCAGCTCTGAGCTCCCATCACGGCCGTGCCGGTGTCGATACCGGGGTCCCAGGGCTGAGAAGAGGTTGGGGACTGTCCCCAGAGCCGGTCTCCAACCGGGGGGGGCGTGTTCTGCTACGGCTGTCGCCCACCGGTCCCCTGATCCCTAAAACAATTTGGGTGCGTTATTGCAACGCCGCGTCTCCGTCTGCCGGATAATTGCATGTGATCCCGGCAGGGAGGGGCCGTGCCGCCATCATCCCGCCGCTCTGACGGCGACACCGGGCTCCCGCCGCGGGACAGGGGCTGGACAGAAGTGGGGGAGCCCAGCAGGACAAGGGGGTGCTCCTGGAGGGGTGAAGAGGGGTGTGCTCCCTCCCCATCCCCGTCTCATCCCATCCCCATCCCCATCCCTGTGTCCGTTCCATCCCCATTGCATCCCCACCTCATCCTCATCCATCCTCCCGCTCTTCCTGCACCCCCCGGACCCCCACACCCCCCCCCGGGGCCTCGGGCGGCGAATTCCAAAGGGCACCCGGGAAGATTAATGGCGGGGCCGGGGCCGGGGCCGGGGCTGGGCCGGCCGGTAACCGGATCGCCCCGCGGGAGCAGGAATGCGCCGCTGACCCCGCCGTGCCCGCCTCGCCGCGAGGGTCCCGCCACGCGGGGTCACCACGGGCTCGGTCACCACGGGCACCGCGCAGCCCCTGCCCCAGCCAGGGACATCCCGCTGTCCCCAAACCCGATGGGGCTCTGTCCCCGCGTCCCCAAACCCAGAGACACGTCCTGGGGACACAGGGACAGGCAGTGTCCCCGAGGTCTCTGTGATGGGGTGACACACTCATCACGCTTCCCGCTCCGGGGTGGGTGACACGTGTCACCCCCCTGCCCACATCCAGAGGATGCCACGTGCCACCTTCCTCCACCCACAGCAAGATGGGCACCGGGGCTCCATCTCCCTCTTCTCGCCCCATCCTTGGGGGATCAGAGACCCCTCCTCCAGCCCCCCGGCAATGGGGACACCCGGTGGTGCCGTGCCGTGCCGAGCCGTGCCGTGCAGCCGCGGGGGCCGTGGGGGCGGCAGGCGGCGGGCGCGGAGCAGCTGTCGGGTCTAAAGTTACGGTGGCGGCTGGGGGCGGGGAGCGAGGCCCGGAGCGGGACAGGGTCCCCGCGGCGGTGTCCTCTCTCGGGGTCCCCATATTGTCCCACCCCGAAGGTCCCGCGGGGCGCAGGGCCGGACCCCGCCGGGCGGGGAGGATGCAGGACAGACCGGGGCTAAGAATAGCGCTGGGGTGGGAACGGGAGGAAGGATGGGGCTTCCTCTGCGACGCCTCTTCTTCCTCCTACCCGGCTCTGCCAGGCAGCACGTGTGACACGGGGACACTCCGAGTGCCACCTGCCCCCCCCCGCCCCCCCCGCGCTGTCCCCCTGTGTGACAGCCCCTGCCATGGGCAGTGTCCCCCGGAGCACCCACCGTGCCCGCGGCCCCAACGAGTGCCACCCCCAGCGTTCCCCGCCGCTGTCACCCCCCGCTGCTGTCAGGCCCCATCACCGCTGTCACCCCCCGCCGCCGCCGCCGCGTTTCGTTGCACTTCACTTTTTAATTAACCTCGGGGCGCTGCCTCGCCGGGGTTAATGGCAGCGGTGACCCGCGCGGCCATCGATCCCCCGAGCCCTGCGCCGCGCTCGCAGCGACGGACGGGCCCCCTCGGGGTCCTGCGGGATGACAGGGGCGTGTGCCCCCCCCTCCCCTTCAATCCTACGCATGGCAGAGTCCCGCAGGACCCCCGGGGTGCCCCCACTCTGCTGCCAGCGCTGTGGGCACGCATTGCTCGAGGTGTCCCCAGCCAGGTTTGGGGTGGTCCCGTAGTGGCGGTGGTGCCACGTTCCCCCCCCCCCCCCCCCCCCCCTGGCGGCCCCCCCC